TTCTTAACATGTTTGTCACTCATGTTTAAAGATCCCCTCCAAAGGTTGTGTCGTGGGGATGAATGAGTATTCCTCTATGGTGGATACAGTTTGGCGGTGTTCGGCGTGAATTCTTACCATTAGCGGCATGCTAAATCAGGAAAAAGTACCCATATTTGACCGAGCACCATTTTACGTAGACAACTCGTTTCGCCGTGTTTTTTTTTTTCTCGAGTCGTCTACTGAATGCAATAACACATTCATGCACCAAACTGGTTGTTCTGCCTCGTTTCGAACTCGCAGAGCACGCAAGACAGGTCACGGAGGGAAAAACCCATCCCTACCCTTGGTGTCGAAAACCCGGGGATACGTCATTTTCATCCCCGGGTGTCGTTCATTTTTTTTTTCGTATTTTTTCTTCATTCCTACTGTATTTTACGCGTGCCCACTAAATCTTGGGTCTTGAAACGCTTTGAAACGTACGAAATCAACCAATGATTAAAGTGGCCTTTAATACCCCCAGGGGTAATTTTCTCTCAAAATGGCGCTTGCAGCTCAGGTCTACGGCCCCAGCCTTACCTCGTCACTGTTGACGTTTTTTTTTTTTTTTAGATAGGCGGGGGGTGATCTTACCTATCGCTCGATACCACAATATCATCGAAATTCGTTTTCCTGCTCAAGAACGAGCTCTTTGCACAGGGGGTAGCTTAATAAGTGGCCTTTAATACCCGCCGCTACTCTATATGCTACACAAACAAAGAGGTTTTACACCTGAATGAAGGCGCGTACATACTCTGCATGACGTAAGGCCGCTCAATGTATTGTTTGCGGCGAAACTGATCTTGCGTGTTCAGAACGTCGGCGGGCTGCGAGGGTGCTTGGCGGTGCTGTTGGCCTCGATTTGATCGGACGCGGAGAAATTTGAGTACTTTTTTTTGTTGCGTTTTGTTGTCTCTCGTGTCGACAGCGCATATGCGTGTAGGAAAAATACACTAAAGTAGACATTGAGGAACTTGCCAAGGGTTCAACCTCGAGGGGAGGTGGGACATATGTACTTGCGAAAATTCGCATACCGTGTTACGGCTCTAACGTTCCATTCGAAGGGTATCTGTGCTTGCTGCGTTCTAGGCTTGCGCGCAAAATCTCAGCCGCGTGTGTATTGTGATCTGTCCTTTCTCTCTTCTGTTGTAGAAAAGCGACTATTGTTTTCCGGGACACATTCAATTCATTTCAGTCCGGGATACAATGCTGTCCAGAGAAAAAAACATGACTAGAGGACGGACAGGTTGATCGCCATACCTTCTATTGTCTACTACGATGACTGGATACGCAGGGGAAGAAGTTCCCTCTGCCCGCTTGATCGATGAATTGTGAAGAAGGTGTAAGTTCCCTCGTTTGCGCTACACATATCACACCAGCTACCGAACCTATCGATCCGCTTCTTTATGCTAAAAATCGTCTGAGCGAATGGCTGATACACGTGACAGCGACACACAACCGTTCGCCGAATTCGCTAGAAGGTGTCCATAGGATAAGGTACAAGTTCCCTGTCTCTGCGGTAAACACGTACCAGCGACATTGACAACCTATCGATCCACTTCACGCGATAAACGCCCGAGCGAATGGCTAAAAACGTGATAGCAACACAAAACCGTTCACCTCAAACGCTATAAAGGTGTTACTAGAATAAGGCGCTCCTAGGATAAAACATGACAGGGACTTGGACATACTATTCCCGACGACAGGTCCTCAAAAAACACTCTTAACTTACAAGAGGGCAAGACACAGTTCTTGCTGTGTAGCCACGTGTGAGGTTCCTTCTCTCTGCTGGATGGAGCGATTTCTACCAGCCCGTCACACACAACAAAGTTATGTAGACTGAAATCAGTAGAAACACCGGGCGCTATGAGCTGCTCCCGCGACGGAATCAGAAGACGCAAAACGTCAACATACAGCATGAAACAAACGCATGCATGAAGCAATACTGTTACCACACCTCTTTTCCCTCCTATGATTGCAACGTACGCGCAAGCATGAGGAGCGCACGCGCACTGCACCCTCTCTCTGGGTGCCGTACTGCCGACACGGCTGTTCCCCAACACTCGACGACTCAACTCCAACACGGCCTTCCACTAACAACTAACGCCCTGTCCGAAACGCCGCTCCTGTACAAGCACAACGTGCCTCCGCCAAAAAAGCCTCACCGACGCCCGTGTATCTCTGTGCAGCATCGACTGTGCACTGCTGTACGTTTTCCTGTCCGCCGTTGTCAATCCGAAACGAATCTACTCCAAAAGCGTCACACTACCGGATACTGTCTCTAGATGCCGGACCACCGCAATTTGGTGCCCGAAAAAAAAACACACCACGGGAGCAACATCATCATACGTCCATCAACCAAGGTAACCCCACAGCCCAAATCACTGATGATCCCGAATAACCGCAAAGCACCACGCATCGTCCTCTCACCCCTCTATCTTATCTCTCGCATCGCATCTCCTGTTGTGCGATATTAATGGTCTAACCGCTAAGGCATGCAAAACATTAGTACGCCTCCCCCCCCTGCTCTTTCTCTCTCCTCTCTCGCTCGCAATCTCCCTCTCTTTTATCTATATCTCGCATTGCCTCTCCCGCTGTGCCACTCTCTGTCAGCGCAACCGTGCGGGGGCGTCGCTGAGCTTTCTCAGCTCGAGCTCGGCGCAGGCGCTGCACAGGCACGGCTTCGGTTTCTCCTTGGCGCCGTAGTTGAACACCAGCTCCGGCCCGGGTGATCCCTGCGGGTTTGAAGGGTGAAGTGTGGGCAACGCGGTGCAGGTTGAGGACGAAAGTCCCTTAACATACCGATGGAACAAGGAACGAATGGCCCAACATCATCTCCAAAGATCTGCCACACAGGGCCGGTTATCCCCAAGCAATACCGACCGGTAGGCAATCTTCAACTGGTTGATATGTACGACTAAAGAATCGTGGAAACAATCAACGGCAATCTACGACGCTTCATCATATTCTCACTCAAGACGTTCATCACAAGGTCCGTTTTTGAACCTTGAAGATGTTTCGAAACATGCCAGGATGCGTTCGTATTTACTTCTGACTCGTGAACGGTTTCTTGACGCGCTGCCGCACAGTAAATACAAGTACCTCCTTTACGACGATCTTCTTGAGGGCGAAGAAGCCGTGGATGGGCTCTCTCCTGTCGGTGTTGTTGGCCACTAGCTTGCGAACCTTCACGTTGGCCCCGCAGCACGCGTGGTTGAACAGGGCGGCCACCCCTCGGTATCTGCATCCATCCGTTGCATCCGTCGAACATGGCGCTTAACGCAGTTGTTGTTGTTGTTGTTGTTGATGTTTGTTGGCGTTGTTGGTGTTGTGTGTACTTGTAGTTGTCGTAGTTGGTGTTGTTGCTGCTGCTATTTTTTTGTACGTAGAAAATTTCATACAATGAAAGAGCGGCTACCTGTTCGATATAGAACCACGGTCGAAGGGGGGGATGGATGGGTGGCAGTCTTTGCAGTGAGTGGGAGAAAAACCGGCCGGATAAAGTTCTCCTGATATCTTCATTTTTTTTTTTCTGATGTCTTCATGTACCCGTTCGGCGGTTCGGAAATCAACAATATCGCCGCCAAAATGATGCCCCCGCCCCTCGTCGGTACAAGACCGAAAAAGGTACAACAACGCCATGTGTTCGGCGTGCATAGCAGTAGCGAAGAACCCAATGCCGGCGGCCATGCTTCAACAAACAATAATTCCGATACAGTCCTAACACGCGATAAATACGTTTCAGTTTCCACAAACAGGAACTTAAATGAATGCGTGGTAACTGCCAGGAGAGCGGGTCGCTTGATGGCCTCAGGGGGGCTTCGGCATCGGCGATTGATAGGTTGTTGTTGTCGTCCATCCACCAACAAAGCAAACACCGCAACTGATGTACTGATGTCATGAGCTGATCTTAAGTCTAAGGGCTAGCTTGTCTTTGGACCACGCTCTTGTGTCTACCACATGTAAGTACTTTTAGAAATAGACCCAGGGGGGGGAGAACGCCACAGCTGAAGAAAATACAACGTACAGCACAGCATGGCAGACCTATGCAAACCAGATGGTTTCTTTTTCGGGGGGAGGGGTGTCCTTCCTCTTTCGTGCTGTACTGTCCTGTAAGATTCGCATTCGCAACATGATTTCTTCGCTGATGCTACTGCTGCAGGGCTTACGGAAAGCTTCTGTGACATATGGTGCCTTCCTCGGGGCAGAAGGTTAGGGGAGGGGTAGAGTCCTAGGGCAATTCAACTTTGGAGGTCCATCAATGGAATGGAGAAATTCAGTTCTGAAAGTCCATCCACGGGATAGAGCAGTTCAGCTCTGAAAGTCGGTCCACGGAGTATCATTACTCGCGCGTTCACGATAACCCCATGCATGATACATGCATCTATTCTTACTGGCCAGCACCGACCCTAACCCTCACCCTAACCCATGCATGATACATACCTCTATTCTTACCGACCAGCATCGACCCTAACCCTCACCCTAACCTTAACCCATGCATGACACCTCTATTCTTACCAACCAGCATCGACCCTAACCCAAACCCATGCATGATTCCTCTATTCTTACCGACCAGCATCGACCCAAACCCTAACCCTAACCTATGCATGATACATACCTCTATTCTTACCGACCAGCATCAACCCTAACCCTAACCTATGCATGACCCCTCTATTCTTACCGGTCAGCGTCGACGACGATGTTGTCCTCCGGGCACCGTCTGTCGGTGTACACGTTGAAGCAGTAGCACGGGCCGCCCGCGTTGTCTCTCCTCTCGTACTCGGGTTCCCGCGCCTGGTAGACCGACTCAGGGATCATCTGAAGGGCGCCACGGAAGGAAGCGATGACGCGGCATTAGTGGCGAGAACAATAGTGCAGTAACATCAACACCAGCTAAAACAGCAGCAACAACATCATCATCATCAACAACAACAACAACAACAACAACAACAACAACAACAACAACAACAACAACAACAGCAGCAACAGCAACAACAGCAATACGAGCAACCTAACCCTTTCTCTACAAGAGAAATATGCAAACTACTATCTACGGCAAAGACGACGGCAACACAAGACCAACTACAACCGAACAAGACACCGACGAAAAACACAACCTTTCCCAAAAGCAACGTCTTCTTCAAAGTCACCTCGCCAGCGTAAGAGCAGATATACTGCCCTTCTTGAATGGTTCCCCTTGCCCTGACCCCCCACCCTTTGGTAGCGGTCTTGAAGGCCTCTAGCGGTGCCGTCACCCCCATCTGACAAGAAAAAAAAGCAGCAACGCAAAGGCCGTTGAACCTCACCATGCCCACCATGGCCGTGTGGTGTCGTCGTCCACCGCATATCTTTAATATTTCTTAACAATGCATATATATAGAAAGGTGACTACTTCGTTATTATTTTCGGCTCTGATCGAGCCGACACTATCTTCGCCACCCGTGGGCAGTGGTTCCATCGCACTTCCACCCCAGTACCATAACCGCCAGGATCAGCAGCAGTATATATGTATATGCACACAGTACGGCTGTGTAACCTCGTGCTAGTACCTGGGATGCCCTTAGGCCGCAGTCGAGGGGTTCCTCCCCACTGCCCGCCTTGCCCGTCTTGAGACGGTCTGCACAGGGACACTTGTAGTTGCACTCGTACTTGCGCCTGAGCAGTAGGAAAGAGCAGCGGGTGTGGTTAGGGTTCAAGCGATATACATAGGGAGCATGCTGGGGGAGGGGCACCACCTCTGGTCCACCACGGTAGGCATCAGATTGGGACCAGTACGTACAAGCAGCAGCCAACAGCAAAAGCCAACACCAACAACACCACCACCAACAACAACAACAACAACGAAAACAACAACGATAAGAACAGAAAATTCACCATTTCGAAGGCAATAACTCGGCTGGAATCTTGGATACAACCTACTCACGTACCAACGCATACAAGACATGGAGAGATCCGAACGAACAAGACACCACCCACCGCACGGCAGCACCGCCCCCCCCCCCCTTCCATTCTTACCCTCCATTCTCACTCACCCGTTCTCACTCCCTCGAGGAACATGACCGCACTTGATGCTGTCACACCCGTGGATTCGACCTCGACCGCTTTGGAGCTGGACCTGGGAGCTCGAGCCCCCCGACCCGCCTACCCCTGCCATGACACCAGCGCCTCCGCCGTAGCTGAAACCAGTGGGAGCGCCTAAGCCTCCGCTTTCATCGGGCTCCTGTTTTTGTTCGATCCATTGCAATGCTGGTGTGACGCTTGGGTACGTAGGCACTGGGAACGATTGTGACTCAAGTTTGAACAGCCACCACTTGATGAAAGGACCAGTACGGATATTGGAAGGTACTGAGCGGAGACCGGAACGGTTTTCAATGTTAAGACGACACCAACAACAACAACATTGCGATGTCGGCGTGGTAACGCTTGGCTACCTAACGCCCAAGCCTCCGCTTTCATCGGGCTCCTGTTTTTTGTCGATCCATTGTGGACCAGTACGGATGTTAGAAGGTTCTTAGCGGAGACCGGAACGGTTTTCAATGTGAAGACGACACCAACAATACAATATTGCGATGTAGGTGTGTTGACGCTTGGGTGCCTTATGCCGAAGCCTACGCTTTCATCGGGCTCCTATTTTGTTTCGACCCGTTGCAACGCTGGGGTGTGTCGCTTGTGTACGTGGGCACTGGGAACCATTGTGACTCAAGTTTGCAACAGCCACCACTTGATATATTTTGCAACTATAGCCCTCCCCTACTTTTCGCCGCGTTAACCTCGTGCTCTGCTTGGCCACCGCTGGCTTAAACTCCTTCCTGGCAAGCCAGACTACTGCCTGACAAGCGTGAAAGGATCACACCGTACGCCATGACGATCTACGCTCACAGGGGCAACCGGCGGCCGTCGCCGGGCACACTTCGACCTTGTGGACCGCACGAACACGCCCACAGCTACAACAGTCCCCTTATTGACGTGCGCTACAGAATCAAAGCGCAAACCATTGTACTACGAGGAAGACTCAACAATCGAGAAGGCAACTATTAATCTTAGGCTAGCTAGCCTGGCACATCGAAAGCACAGATGATCATATAACCATGAAGTCTAAACGCTCAAGACGGCAACTATTTAGGCTAGCTAGCCTGGCACATCGACAGCACAGACGACTGCATTACCATGAAGATTCAACGCTCAAGAAAGCACTAGCCTGGCACGCATACCGCCTTTGCATACTCAGTTACCTTATGGTGACAAGGGGCGGGATTTCTCTCTGGCATCTCGTAGTAGCAGAGCCGCCAGTTGAACGACGCGCCGGGCCCCTCCACCACACGGTTGATGTACGTGAACGTGTGGCTGCGTGTACAGCGGTAGTTTTGTGCCAGTGCCAGTGCCAGTGCCAGTTCCAGAACACCCGGTAGCGGAGGGTCAGGTGAGAAACGGCCACCGAATTCCGCAGTCGGGGTTCGGAATTCGCATGTTCATGCCCTCAATCTCGATCACTTCTACGTAGGAATACCCAAGGGGGGTCGATGACGTAGAAAATCCCCCCCAAAAAAAATAAATAGGGGAACAAGGGGGAGGGGGGGCACAGGCGGGGAATATATGCCACACCACACCACACCTTGGAAATGGTTCATCGTCGACCTCGTTGACCCAGGGGATGGGAACCCCTTCCCTCCCCCCCGATATGTCCTTGCCGCGCGTGCGGCCCTTCCTCCAGCCCAGCCGGGGGGCCACCTGGGGTAGGTCGCTGAAGGTGGTGGTGAAGAGCCTCCCGCACTCGGTCTCGTTCTTGACAATCGCGATCTCGTACGCGGTTTTCCCTTGTCAACGCAGGCGGTGCATAAGGCGGGCGGTGTAGTCATGTATGTACACGCGTGCCGTATTCGATAGACTATTGACGTCGCATCCCTACAACGACGGGACGGAGCGATACTGTACGCCGAGTTTCCGCCGGCCCAGGCTACATTTCGCAAGGATGAACCAAAAGCTGGTTATCATCCTTTGGGGGGGGGGGGTACTCATAGTCGTGCATGCCGTAGTCGTTAGATGATTGACCTCGCATCCCTACCAAGCCGGGACGGAGCACGCCGGGTTCTCACCGGACCAGGCTCTCACATCACCAAGCGCGAAGCGCCGTGAGATATTCGGCGAGTCGCATGAAGGGTGCGCTGCATCCTGCTAAGGGTGTTCGGCATCTTGTGCTTACTTCCTTGCGTACGGATGACAGCTGCGTATGACTTAATATACTTTCTGGTGCTTTCACTTCCAGAGACAGTAAAAGCACTGTGTAACTGCCTCGAGGGTGCTTGACCATTTTAACACAACGTGGTGCGATCATCCCCCTTGCGCGGAGTGAGGGTTCTCCACCCCGCACAACATGATCTACTCAACCACCATTATGGTTACCGCCAAAAAAAAAC